GGCCCTTTGAAGGATTTTATCTTAAATTTTTTTTTCCAAGTGTAAGTTTTTGGGGTGGCTGGAGGGGTGGTTTTTGTGTTTTGAGGAGCTAATATATCATTTTTAGGGCTCACTGTCTCTATTCGAAACTGAAAAACCATTTTCAGTTTCAGGAGCAAAAAAAATTTTTTTTTGATTTTCGTTCATAAATGAACGTTCGGAACTTCAGGTACATATTTTGACGTGATAATTCATAAATGAGTGAAGTCAGTTTTGTCATTATTGATTCAAAATTTCTCCTTTTAAATCAAGTTAAATTTCCATCAGTGTCCACTCGGAAATTCTCCATCAATTAACGCCGTAAATAATTACTAAGTAAAAAGCTTAAACCCCGAGCCTTAACCGGAGTTGTTTGGCCGATAAATAAGAGGATAGAACGGGAGTTAAATTTTGAGCCGAACAATCGATAGTAGCAGTTAGAAATACTAGCGGCAATACTTAAACTATCAGTGGTACTGTTACTATTGCTGGTAGCATTCAGTGACGTGTTAATAACGATGGGTTTAATTACGAGGGAGAGGAAAATGGTAACGAGGAGGCAGTATGGACAATCGAAACGAGCTGATCGCACGAGTACTTGGTTGAACTGTTTTTCGCTCTTTTATTCGTCTAGCTCTCTCGTACCTACACCTCTGCCCTTTCTGAATATATATCTTCAGTATTTATTTTTATAAATATATATGTATATATAAATGTTGTGTTATAACTGGTGTGTGCACTCGATACCACAACATAAATTAAATCTATATGAATACGCAAAGTCCTCTAGTCTACTCGGTGCTCGGAAGCACTCTTAGCTATAAATTACCTCGTTTAAATTGATTCTCGGTGTAATTTACAACCACATGAGTACCAGAATAAGAGCGAGAAGTCTTTGGGAAAGCAAGAGGGATAATAAGGACGGGATTGCAGGGTTCATCGGATCGTCGCTCAGGATACCGCGGTTTCCCTTCCCGGTGATAAGTACCCACCAATGTTTTCCATTAAGTAATCCTCGTTATTCTTATACTTGTGTATAATCTTAATTATCCCGTTTCATTTTTTAACTCAAGCTTTATATTGCTTCCCTTTACTTTGCCCATACCGGTTTAGTTTCGTTTCGCCGGTCTTATTGCCACTCATCACATTTACGCCGCCATAAATATCCTACTATCTATCTATATATTCTATATAAATATATAATACCCCTGACCCCGTATACTACGCGTTCTCTGGAATCTGATAAGCCCGAGTCATTTGTAATTTTAAAACGAGTTTTATCAATTTAGCTTTTCTATTTTATTCTTTTTTTAATATTATTTTTTTTTTGACAAGTACAATAAAAAACGAACAAATTTAAAAAAAAAATTGAATATCACTAATTTTACTTAAAAAATTTATAAATTTTTTTGAAAATTTATAAATTTTTTTGAAAATTTATAAAATTTGTTAAAACTGTGATAATCAACTTTTTTTTTCTTAAATTGTTCATTTTTTTATGTCAATAAAAATAAATAGAATAAAATATGTCAATAAAATAAATACAATAAAAATATGTCAATAAAATCAAATAGAAATTTCGTTCAAAAAAATGAAAATTAAAATGGTTGACCCCACTTTTAAAAAGAATCATATTTTAAAAAAAGTAGTAGGACGTCATTTTGATTAGTCCTAGATTTTTTTTAAAATACTTATATTGGAGATAAAAAGAATTGTTACTACTGTAATTAAGAAGTCATTCTGGTTTGTAACTTTCAAAAGAATATTTTACTTTTCTTACTTTAGGTAAGATAATTTTTTTAATTAAAAAAACTTTAAACGTATTTATCAGAACTATGTTTTTCTGGTTGACGTACATATCTCTGGAATCACTGACTTGTTTTTAATGAAATTTAACCCACATATTTTACATAATAGTAGCTATTGCATCAGTTACAACCGAATCAAAATTTTGATTTTTACTATTTTTTTAGACTACAAACTGTACAAGATAATCTTATTACTCAGTTTCTTTTTTTTAATGACCGCCAGTTTGTTATTTATCAATAAACATTTATCTTCTTAGCTGGTGCAACAACTTCATATATGGACACTGTTATGCATTAATGTGTTAAGTGCTATGGAAATCCTATGTACTTAACACACTATTGCATAACAGAGTCCATATATGAAAGGTAAATGATTTTGGTTTTTGTGTTTTAGATGAGCCGTTATCTAGTTACCATGTACGTCAGCGACATATCAACTTTTGGAACAGTTCACCCGTTGTTTGTTCATATAAGGTAAAAGACCCAGTTATTGACACTAGCCTAGTTGTTTGACACTTGCAATTTTATTCTAATTAAAAAAATAAAATCTTTTCAAAAAACCAAAATCTTAAAATTTATAATTAAAAAATTATATTTATTAATTTATCAGAGTTGATTTATTTTTTTTTAATTAAAATAAAATTGCAAGTGTCAATAACTAGGCCAGTGTCGATAACTGGGTCTTTTATCTTAAATAATTAAAAAAAAAACAAATATAGATATTTTTTATGTTATTTAAGAGTATTTTTTTGTTGATCTGAATAAATTTGATATTAATATCTATAATATTTTCTATATAAAAAAAAAAAAAAAAAAAAAAAAAAAAAAAATTATGAATATTGGCTTTTTTTCAAGTCTAAAAACAAAATGACCTCTTAATCATTTATAAAATTATTATAAAAATTTTTGTAAATATTGGGTAAAATTTTTTTACTAAATTATAAACTAAAACAAATTTTTCTTCACCCACACTCAGTTAAATTTTGAACTTGCGAGACACAAGTTTTTAAAATTACCTTTTTCTTCAAGTCTTTGAGCTTGTTCCTCGCGCCATTTTTTTATTTTTTCAGGTTCTTCTTTCGCGACAACAGGTTCTATAAAAGAAATTCAATTATTAAAAAAATTGCTTCCATAATTAATTAAAAAATCGGCAATTGTGTGGTACACGAAAAAAATAATGTAAAAAAATGCTAATAAAATAATAAATGAAAAAAATATATAATCACTACCTGGCGTTGAAACTGATTCAGTAGGTTGATCAATAGTATTAATCATCTCGAAGCTACCGGTAGTAGTACCATTTCCACCGGATTCGACTGTCATATTTTCAAAGTTACCAGATAAATCATCTATATTGATATAAACAAATGAAATAAACTAAATAAATAAACATAAATAACACCATAACATGATTCAGATTCAAAGCAATAAAAATTATTAATTTAAATAAATAAATAAATTAAATGGAACTTTTCAAGCTAAAAAATAAATAATTATCTGAATTAAAATAATTACTTCCTATCTTTCTGTTGTGAAAGTTTAATGCAATCTATGTTAGTAGATTGATAAAATATATTTACTTAGTTATAAAATAATAGTAATAAAAGAAGTTGATTCAATTTAATAGAGTTATATAAGTGTGAGTATTTTTTTTTTGGCTTTTAAAATTAATTTATAAATTAAAAAAATTTAAGAAAATTATATTACAAAAAAAATTTGCAAAAACAGCTTATTATCAAGGATTTTGTAAGTGTGCATATAAGGTAACTACTGGAAATTTTTACACTTAAATTACACTGAGAGAAAAATTAAAAAAAAAAATTGGTATTTTTTTGTGACAAGAAATTAATTTATTGAAAATTTCCATTTGTTTTATTTCTTAGCTGAAGAAATTAAAATTTTTCTCAGCAACTTTCTTAAGGAAAAGTATTTTTGATTTAGAAAATATCAATTTTAGGTAGACAACTTGCGAATTTTCATCTGAATTTTTTTTTTTCAAGTTAAGGGGTTACATGGGTTTCCTCCGGGAAAAAATGGCCTATTTTTAACAATTTTTTTTTAATATAAAAAATAAAATATTTAATTCAAACTTTTTACTGTATTAAAGATACAAATTTAATAACGGATTACTGAAATTTTTGAAAAAAAAATATTAAAAACTTTGCCATTGTGACGTCATCTCCGGCAAGCCCTCGGAAAAAAGATGCGTCCGCGTTGACAGCAGAACTCCAAGCAGGATCATTTGAAGTGAAAAAAAAAAATACGTGCTTTAGTTAAGACTTTAATCTAGAACTTGGACGAAAGAAAACAAAACTGAAAATTGGATTTTTGGCAGAGGTTTTTATGAAGCAATGAAAAATTTGGTTAAGATTTCGCGGCAATTTTTTTTTTTTTTTAAATAGTTGTAATTGAAAAAAAAATAAAAATCTTTCGTCCAAGTCCTTGTAAATTGTATCTCGGAGACCTGTCTAAAATTTCATCAAGATCGATTGAGTATTTTTCGAGAAATCTTGACAACTGTCTTTGAAAACAGTTTTGAGAAAAACGCGTTTAAAGTTTTGAGTGACAATAAAACAGTGCCTTGAGGGCACAACTTTTTAAAACTGTATCTCCGAAACTATTACTCGGATCGATTTGAAACTTTAGGACGATATTCTAGAGATGTAGAATTTAATAAAACAATTAAAAAAAATCGATTTTTTGAAGCTGTGAAACCCATGTAAACTTTTTTTTAACAAGAAAATTACAGAGAAAAGTTTTGATTTCTTCAGCTAAAAAATAAAATTGTAAAAATTTCTCAACCAATTAATTTGTTATTACAACATTGCTTATTTTTTTCAAAATAAAAATTTTTTTCTCAGTGTACACCAAATAGTTTAATTTATAATATATTTTTTATAAACAAGTATTTGCATAAATGAATATTCGATCTCTAAAAAAAAAAATCTAACACTGGTTGTATGATTGTAGACACCGGTTGGCATTCCTTATAGATATTACAGAGAGGGTTCATCTTCACTAGACTTTATTGAGAAATTATTGACATGTTTTGTGAATACTTCGATTTTCGTTGTGCGTACTTATTTTAGTTATAATAAAAATCAGATTGTTTTTACTGCAACGGTTTTATGCTCTAATATTTATTAATTTATTATTAAATCGTAGTGGTCGTTAAGGGTCTAGATGACCCAAGGCAATTTTTGAGTTGCTCTTCCTTCGAAGATATCATTCAAAATGGTATTTGTGGTACCATCTATTATTGTTTGAAGATTTTTTGAGATTCATGGAAATTTACGATTTTAATTGCACAAATAAATATCAATACTACCATTCTAATACGTCGTATCCCACATTTAGAAAATTTTACAGCAGACTGTAAAAACAGTTCATTTTTAACATTGATTAAATGGAATTCAACAGATGAAAATATTTATTTAAAAATAGTTATTAAACTATTTGACCTATAAATTTTTATTGTGACTTGCATAATATTGTTATGATTTTATTTTTCAAAAAAAGTCAATATGTCAAATTTTGTGGGATACGACGTATTAGAATGGCAGTATCGATATACTTTTTGAAAAGCTCGACATGACACCACTTTTTTTCAAAGTATGTGATATCCGGAGTAGAACCCCGGAAGTCATTTTCATTTATCTTAAAAAATGAAGTTTTTAGTAAAAAAAGTCAAATTTTTCGAAATTTAATTTTAAACAATTGAAAAAAAATGAAAAAACAATTGAGTTATTCAACGGAAGTGTTAAGAATTACTGTCATGTACGGCTCGAATGAAAATATTGAAAAGAACGCAAGTAGCAAAAATTTTTTCTGTGCATGGGGTCAACTAGACCGAGTATGACCACTACGTTATTTTTAAGAAGTGTGACCACTACGGGTTAATAAGAAAGATATGGTTATTTTAAATAAAATATTCACTTATTTTCCTTAATTATAATTTAAGAATGTTCAAATTTTTAAATATAATGTAGAAAACTCATTTCTTTAAATTTCAGTTATCACATCTGTCCTTAACACGATAATGTATAAAACGATCGATAAATGAATTAAGTTATTTATAAATATTATATGAATATAGTTATAAAAAATTTTTTTTTCCGCCTAAAAAAACTCAGCCAGAATTTAGAAAAAATCAAACTCGCATTAATAATTTTTAAAAATTTCTTCATGCAGAATTTTTTGCTTAATTTTTTTTTTTATAAAAATCTAAAAATCTGTTAGATGTCTGTTAAATTCAGTATCACAAAATTTTATCAAAAATTCAACTCTCCAACTTTAAGCAAATCAATAATTACATGACGCGTCAACGATTGTGGATGAAAATTCGAGTTCTATTTCTTTCCCAAAAACAAGTAAATATTATTTTCACCTTCAGTAGCTGAGATTATTGGTACAGATGTAGTCATAGCAACTGGTGGAATATCATCTTCGAGACCAGCCAACTGGTCTTGCTCCCGAGCTAGGAATTCAGCTGCTGGATCAACTTCGACATCATTACCAGTAAAGTTGTCACCGAAACCGTCCATTGTATTCTGAAATTTTATAAAAATAAACAATTAATGATCAATTATTCTATTATATACTTTAAAAACACAATAACTTTTTTATTAAACAAAATTATTTAGAGTAATCAAATTAACCTTTTAACCTACAAATTCAATTACGCGCTATGGAGTAAAAATAAAGTAATTAGTCGCTTAAAATATACTTTATAGGTAAAATTAATAATAAATGAATTGCTTACCTATTTTATTGAGTATTAACGGCAAATAATTGTGAATTGGTTTTAGTTTTTCGATAGATACACACCCCTCGGTATATAGAATAATTGTACGAGAAATGATAAATGTCAAAAGAGGATGACAACGTCAATAATTAGACAAGGAAAAAGTAAAAAAAACCGTTTTTAGCTGGGTTGGTAGTAAAAATTTCAATCTTATTTTACAAAGGTAATGAAACTTTTATCGGTAAAAAAGAATTTCCGTTTTCACAAAAAAAAAAAAAAAAAAAAACAATTAGTATTATATTGGCAGGAGAGATGGCGTAGCAACAATGATAGAGCAGAGTAACGGTCAAGTCCAATCCAAAGCTCAATTTGGTTCAGTTCTTCTTCGTCTTCGTCCTTTAACCCGACACTGTGTATAAGTGTTACCTCGCGAATCATTACTTCAATCCTTTTATCAGTAATAATTGATAGAAAACTCACTTTTCTGCTGCATTAATAGTCTATCGAATTTATGATTGTGTTTTCTACCTGAGTAAGCGAAAAATGAATGAAATAAAGGTCCAGTGAAACAAGTACAGCTTTTTTGGAGGATTTATGAACGATGGAAGATTCAACTGCAGAAAACACTTAAAATCTTTCAGCACGCTATAAGATTTTTTTTAGAAATTATCTAAAGCGCTGAAAAGTTAAATATACTTCTTATTGAACGAATGCACCTGTTGTAAGTCAGGTGAATTATGATTATCTATACTAATATTATAAAGAGAAAAGATTTGATAATAAATAATAGTTTAAAAAAACTAAAAACACGCTTTTTATAGAAAATCAAACTAAAAAATAGAAAATAAATTTTAATAAATTTAAATTAAGAATAGTGTTAAAAATTTCAATAAATATTAATTAATAATAGTGTGAATAAAAAAAAAATTATTTTATTT